GTTGTCCCCCTCTCTAGTATTTATTAGTTAATAACTTTTTAAACAAGGATGTGCAAACGAAAAATTGATCAGTTTCGGAATATGCACACGAAAATCTATCGACTAATGTTATTTTTAATGCAGTAACCGCGATTTGAATCTATCTGTCAAAGTCGACCGTCCTTTATCGTTACTTTAATCGTTAATAACTTTTTAACTAAACATGTGCAAATGGAAAATCATCTAATTTTCCAAATATGTAAACAAAATTCTACTATAATATGCTTTTTTCAATTTTCTAATTTGCTCGCAGTTGGGAAGTTAGTGAGAAGTTACTTCCCTAACATTTTTTTTAGTGACTCTTTTTTACTGGAAGTGTGCAAATGAAAATTTAAAATGTGTATACATGTGCAAAACGATAAATAATCAAATGAGTTGTAGAAATTACTATTTTTTTTTAACGTTGAGAACTTTACGACAATCTGAGTTATGGACAGACCTGACTTAAAATATAGGATTGAAACATTTATATTTTATGTAATAGATTTTTTTTTCAAAATATACGAACAACTAGCGTCAGGGTCTTATATAAGTACTCTATATTTTTTTAGATGTGCATAATGATATTTCTTGTAAAAAGCAAAAATATTTTTATTTTAATATTGCGATATAAAGAATTCTTGAGATGTAACCAAATTTTACAATTATTACATTATAATTATATAATACATATTACGTAAGTCAACACTATATGATCATATACAAAGTATGATGCTTTATGTTAAAACAAATAACTTTTTTCCTTTTACAAAATTGACAAGTAGTTTTTGCAGAAGAGCAAATTAAAGTTATAACAATTAAACGCAAAAATTGTTTACCGAATGTAATTTTACAGAAAAAAGTTGTTTGTTTTAGCATAAAGTATCATGTTCTGTACTCCGAATGCGCGAATTTCTGAACACCCTGTATATGTTTATCCTGTAAAGATGTTTAATAATAAATCTGCTATAGATGCAATATTCCTGCTAAAGAGTAAAACAATTTTTCTTTCATGAAAACGTTGAGACAGTAATATTTTATTAGTGACTAAACATCATAAGTTTATCTAATGATATTACGCTTTTTTTTACGGAGTCAAACAGAATCAAATTTTGCAAATTCTTCAAATAAACTTTAGTCATATAAAATAGACAAAAATTGTATAAAACCTTATGTAGACACTTCGTTTTAATTAAATACGAATATTTTCTGATTTTATAAACGTTATTCTCTAAATTCACAAGTATTTTTTAAAAATATCTTAAATTTATTTAAAGCAGATTTTAATTCGATTTCATGTATTTATCGATTGCAAATATACATACATTACAAAATTTTGATAATGGGGTGCCACAAATACAACGAATTTATCGAAGATTTCAATATTGCGCACTCGCAGATCCACTTAACCCAATTAAATTGCATATCTGAACATGCTACTATTGGTCCAGTAATATAATCTGCGTTGTATACAAATATATTGTTAGTTATATAAAATTAATAGTATTACTACACGAGTTGCGTACGAAATTAATTGTATCACCTTGTCTGTTTTTGTAATAACAAATAAAAGAGAGTCTATCTATAATTAAAGTTTTTTTCAATTCAAAGAAATGTTTTTTGCTATACGGTTAAAGAAAAAATTTCTTCGATTTGAACATAATTTCTTTAAATCAAATAAATTTTTTTATTTAATTTAAAAAAATAATGTTTAAATCAAAGAAATGATATTCAAATCGAAGAAATTTTTTCTTTAATCGTATAGCAAAGAAACATTTCTTTAAATCAAAGAAACCTTTCTCTGGGTAAAGGAGCTCGATTATGATTAGTTAATATATTTACGGTTTTTATGATAACTAATTTTTTGATAGAAAAACTAAACTTCTTTTTACGTGTGATGGCCTGAAATATATATTGCGTATTGTGATATTTCGATATACGATGCAAAATATTATCTACGGATTTTCGGCCGGATAAGGTTATCGAGATATTATAATCATCCATGACCAGCGCAAATGTCAAACGACTTGTTTTCGGACATGTGAAGACGCATGCGAGAGAACCTTTATGTGATGGCGAAATATTCTTATTTTCAATTCTACGCGTGAACGTTTGATTCGACAAATATGACATTGTCCCCGTCGCGCGTCATGTCGCACGATGCAACTCGTGCGTAAATCTTTCTCGATGCTCATACCGTGTCGTTTTCGTTCGTTGACCGCTGCACTGAACGACGGCATTCTCTATACGATGTGACGTCTGGAATAGACAGATTGAGCCGAATCGTTCGATAGCCACGTCACGGATATATAGCCGCTCTTCTATCCATCCGGTATAAAAATGCTGATTCTCTTTATATTCGACAATGACCAGCGTAAGTCGCCACTCCACCATGATGTTTTGTTTCTTTTCATTGACGCTCGATATGTTTGTAGACGTAGAAATTTCTCATACGCATTCGCGCGAATAAAAAATATATAAGATTTGTCCGCATCTCGCAAGCTACAATAACCTCTAGTATGGTTCTATAGCTCCGAAGCTTCTAGTCATTCCAACGAACACGTTGGAGTGAGTAGAAGTTATGGTAGCAACATGTTGAAGCGGACAAACACATATACAGGGTGTCTCATTTCAAATTATGTATTAATATTTCTTAAAAACCATGATAGGAAAAAAAATGTTTCAAACAAAAGTTGTATCATTTAAAGGGAGACATAAGGAGATATCATTGATTTGATGCTGGGTGATGTTAAGGTTAGATCAAAGTTACTTTAAATTTTTTTAATGAAATCTTCCATTTTCGTTACATATTTTCGTAGCTTACCTCGAGAGCTTTTCAAAATAATAATAAAATATTTTTTCTATAAGTACTTTACGAGTTATTTCTATAAGTACTTTAAGACTTGAAAGTAATACCGGCATTAACATTTCCGACCGATGGCCAAAATCTCTTGAATATTGTTCAGCATCATGATCTAGTTTGTCAAAATCAAGAATGGAGGTTGTTCCTCTTATTTTTATTTTTACATAAAAACGCTTAGTCGACTTCTGTCAAGCTAGCAAGATAAAACAAAGCAGAATCGCAAAAGGAAGAACCTTTTTGAATTATTTAGTGCTTATTTTGTGCTAATTTGTATTATAAACTATAACTTTATATTACATACCATTTAGAAGAAACTTGTGGTTTTGCTAACTTAATATAAAACCATCAGGACTATATAAAAAAAATAATAATAAATAAAGGAAGAAATGCAAAGAACCGAATTTGTGCTATCAAAAAAAGTTATTGATCCATTTCTTAAGAATCAATCCCGAGATCAACTCCTAATTGAAGTTAAAAATTTAAGTTAAAAATGTAACTTTTTACATATAACTCGGTGACAGATAAGTAACGGAAACGTTTCTATAACTAACTGCACACAATTGTTATCATAGACTTTTTTAAAAAACGACATAATAATTTAAAAAATTATGACTGTAATGACCATACCACACAAACTTGCATAGCATAACTGTATGCATAAAGAAAATTATCCAATCGTATTTCACGTTTGCCTTTATGACAGAAATGTGATTGAATGGCCCTAATAGTCACAAAACAATAATGGGTCAACGCGCATTTTGGGAAGATATATTTATGCATAAACTAGTACACAAATTTAACTTCGAAACATAAACATAACGTCTTCTTTTCGTTCAGTGAAAAACTTCTTCATTTACTACGTTTCATACTTTTTCATACTACTTCATTAAGACAGAATATTAAATATTTAAACCAAATTATGCAGATATTTGACTTTAAGTGACTCCTGATGAGGCACACCAAATTTTCGGTACTTTATTGGAGAACCATTTTAATTTTATCCAAAGTATTATACATAATCAGGTTATAACTTCATCAGTTTTCTCTATTGTTTACATCCAATTCATAAAATCAATCAGTCTGGTTTGACTTGTTTAATAAATAATCGACTGCCACGCACCTACTACCAACGACGCATAAGCGAGCGATCGACTTTGAATGTGGGCGTCGCATACAACAGGTGTTTCCTGCGTGCGGAATGTTTTCCAGCTATCCGAGAGGGCAGCCTCTCTCTCTCTCTCTCTCACACACACACATCGACTCTCTCTCTCTCTCTCTCTCTCACGATCAGATCGTCGCAGGTGTACGTCGTGTTTACGCTTCCAACACGTGTATTCCTGACACACACATTATTTAATGACAAACACGATTTTTTCTCTATAATTTTCACGCTGTATATGGATTTCGTATTGAACAAATTCAAGCTCGGAAATCGATCGATCGGTTGGAATGTGAATGCATCGCACGTTGCATCGTTGTTGAACCTTCCAGCACTCGCGAGGCATTGACGCCTCGTCTTCCCACGGAAAAGATTGAGAAGAAGCGTATTATCGCAGCACGCAAAACAGAAACGCCCTGCAGTCTGTTTTCGTCGATGAAATTCATTAATATTGAATACCACGAGCTATACGATAAAAGCGTACTATGGAGAAAGAGAGAGAGAGAAAGAGAGAGAGGGAGAGAAGGAAAGGGAAGGAGGGAGGAGCAATGAGAGAGAGAGAGAGAGAGAGAGAGAGATATGGAAGGAAAGAAAAGAGAGGTGGGGAGATGCGTCTTTGCTTTTGCTGGCTTTGTACGATGTATACTGTCAACTGTATCTATCGAGCGAAAGATACCCGCGCCCCGGAATGCACAGCGACGCAAAAAGACGTGGGTTGTACGGAGCGCGCGCACATTATCGGAACACGCAGAGAGACAAAAAGACATAAGGAAGACGATCCGTTATAGAATCTCGCATCACTCCTCTTATCCACTAGCAACGACCCGTCGCTGCTTCGCTCATTACGACATCGCTCCTCGCGAAATCGCGGAAATATGGCTGCCGCGCTGGCAGCCACAATCGCGTTCCCAAACGATCGCGCGCAAAAAAAAAAAGAGGACACAATTTTTCTCCATTTACCTCTCATGCGGTGTCCGCTTCGGATCCGTTCCCGTAGTCCCTCCGCTAGGCGAGTTCAGGTGCTACCACACGTATGAGAAAAGTGGAAAGAGAGAGGGAGAGAGAGGGAGGGATAGAGAAAGAGAGAGAGGAAAGAGAGAGAGAAAGAGGGAAAGATAAATCCGACGACACTCGAAGTCACCATAGGTCGTGTCCAATGTTTCTCCGTCCTATCTTATCAGCGACGAGGAAACTATTCCGCACCGCACAATCTCACACACGATCGATCACGCCGATAACGATTGCGGACAACGACGACGTTAATACCGAGATGCGTGTAAGCGCGATAGCGTGCGGATGCACCGCCGCGGTTACACCGACGATGGCGAACGACGCGCTCGCGGCGACGATCGCTGGCACGCGGGACGAAGGTCGCATCGGCAGGCACGAGAACGGAGTCAACGGAGCGATCGAGCAATAAACTGCGGCAGCGAAAAGATACACACCACACGATACGCAAAGGGATACTACCATGCATCGCGCGTCGCGCGGCCGTCGCGGCCGCGTCGTAGTCACACACGTCGCACCTCGCCACCTCTCTTCTCTCTCTCTCTCTCTCTCTCTATCGCTCGCTCGCTCGCGCGCGCGCGCGCGATTTCCGCGCCGCCACGCGGCCGTTGTCGCAGATTCGATTATTTATAGACATTCAGCATTGTTGTATCCACGCGTTCCCTCACGTCTCAGGATCGTCTCTCGCGACGCCGGTGCCCATGCCGCGAGCAAAACTCCGGATCGTCTTTCGCGACGTAATGTCAACGTTATAATACGTCGAGTAGTCCAGGGAATATTGGTGAGATTGGCAAGTAAAGCATTATCGCTAATAATATTGTACAATACGAATCTAATCCATATTTCATAGAGATTCACTATTATCGAAGAATTAAAAAATTATTCAATCTTATTATATTTGCAACTGATATTTGCTTATTATATTTGTACTTAGACTATACAAATAATTACAGATTTCTAACCTTAACTTCTGAGATTTATGTAATTGTCGCAACAAACTTGAGTTGAATTCATCTTGTTGTTATAATGTGATGATATCACAGTTTATTATTAATTCTTTCTTTCTTATTAATTAATTCTTTCTAATAATGACATTTATTAATAATTATAAATAAAGT